AAAAATCATTTGGGGAGGGTCTTGCACGTATCCACCCCAGCCAGTATCGCTTGCGTCCGAATAAACTACGCGAGACGGCGTGTGCTGGTGTTTTATAGAAAAACCGTTGTACGCATCTAAGTTTGATTGCCAGAAATTCAACTCCGTGACTGTGCGATCCGATAAGAGCATGCAGTCGGACCACGAGGACCTGGATTCGGTAGTTTGATATGTGGCGCGTGTCATGAGGCGCGTTACTGTTCCTAGCGCTACTGACATGGATATTATTTGACCGGTGATGCTAGCGAGAGATTTTGCATGGGTTGGGATGGAGAGGGCGTGATCTGACAGGACTTTGTCGATTGATACTTTGAGTTTCGTAATTTTAGTGGGGGCACGGTGAATGTCAAAGTGCGCGAATCTATGATCACGCCGAGGAACTTGATGCTAGTCTGAGGATGCCACATGCACTTCGTTTCACTGTAAAACGCGAGAACATGTGACACGTTTAAAAAATGAACGCAGTGTTTTAGATTTAAACACTATGTGACAAAATTAAACACATCATGTGTTTTTAAACAAAACAGTTAGCGTTTAATGTCAACAGTGCTATAGGGTGTTTATTATGAGATCGGTTTTAAAAAATGCTTTAACTGTTCAATTTCACTAGTTAGCATTTTGTTTATTCCCAAAGAACAACACTTTGTTTAAAAAAGGTTTATTAACTAATTAGGACACTAATAATAACTCAAGTTATTAATTTAGCTGTTTGTGTTCAACACCTAATAAACACGGTACACGTCACGATGTTTAAATATGACCACGTGATGTTAGCTCTTAACCAATAGGATTAAATCTGATTGCGTGCTGGCATAATCGGGCCAGTTAATTACACGGTACAAAGACAACCGCCATTTCTCTGACAATAATCTGGGCACACTAATAGAATAATGTAATGGCGAGAATTAGTATCGTCATTCGTGGTAACAAAATTGGCATCGGGTATTGAAACAATATACATGTATGATGTAGTCTCACAGAAGGTACTAACAGTTGGTCATGACCTAGGCTAGAGGTCAAGTTTGGTATGCATATTGCCAAGTCAGCAAGAGTACACAGATGCAACGTATTCTGTCCATGCAGTACGACGGTTGTAGTTTGAACCAGTTCTGGAAGCTTCCACACAGGTGGTAAGTTTTGTCTTTTGTGTTGTTTGATTTAATTAATCCCGATATACAATATGATAGATTTAGAAATATGACATGAGATGAATTAGTGGGAGCAATTATTGGCCAAAGGATCGTGTGATAAAACATGAATAGGAAGGGGAAAAAACAACCCTGATTTTGATTTCTTCATATTATTTTTCTTGGATGACGATGCTGTTATACAGTATAACTGCTGTGCAGCTCACAATATTATGAAGGAAGTTCTGTATTTGAGCCACATTATGGGGTGGTCTATGTTGAGTGTATACTTAATATGAGGCTATAAGCCTATGGGGCGAATTACAATTGCAAACACGCAGTGTCAACATTTTTGTAATCTTGGAAAATTCAGTGGAGTGGATTTTTTTGAAAATCGTGATTTAACTATTCAATAAGAGCATGCTAGTGTTATCACCATTGCCTAAGTTATGTAAGCTGAAAGGGACCAGCATGAATGATTTTGAAAAGAAAATTCTAGTATTTGTAAGGTCAGGTACAAATTGTTAAACCATAATTTCCATTTCACATGATGTTATGGGCGTAAATATTGTTTTAATATTTTCTTTCTGTATATTTTCAGGGTGTGTCTAATCCCTTGCAGATGAAAGAAGCTATTGACTTTTAAAATAAGGTAAGTGTCTTTTGGCATTGATCGTCATTTGGCAGTGCAGTGTGTGATTGTAACGATCAGCTGTGTATAAAACTTTTGAAAAAACCGCAGTGCGTGTACATAAAAGATGATCCCCCAATTTTTGGTGTAATGCAGTATTTCACAGGGATTCAAAACCATTCGTTTTACAGAACATGTGTTATGTTTTGAATTTAGGATCCTCTGCAGATGCTCGACGTAATTGCATACATATACGTTCAGCAGAGCACCAAGTTTGAACGTGGTGAGGGTACGAAGACGAGGAGAGTGCTAACTATTCATGAGGTAATTTTGTATTGTAAAATATATTATTCAAATCTTCAATTTCATTGAATGATGATGTTTGGGTGAGATTCTATCTTGCATAAGAACCTTTCAACTTCCACTGTAAATTTACTCTGGCGGTAAAACATCATGAAATGAAAAAGTATAACATTCTAGGTGAATACAATTTTAAAATACAATTTTAAATACAAAGTCTCTGTAAATACCTACATGACTGCAAAGTTATTGGTACGAAACTGTGAAAAGCTTGCCTATTTTCTTCAGATTTTATTTTTAATATTTGATCCATGATCAAGCTCAAGCTGTAAAGGTTAATATTGACGTGAGTCCCAAAAAGGCCGACAATTGTGCAATTTACTTTTGAACCCAATTTTGTAATCAGTTTTCATATTCTTCCTGGAGTAAACTTTATTAATGACTTGTCATTTTAGGGTCTCCATTATTTTTTTTACTGTGAGCATGGTTTCACTTTCAAAGTTGATCAGTTTTTGTATGGCTCACTCAGAAATCTTGTTATGTCCACAGAATGCTGCTGAACCAGACAGAGTATCTGCATCAAAACTACAGTTTACAGTACATGTGGAGACACCATCAAGAAAGTCTCAAGTCTTAAACACCAAATATGTTTTCAAATTAAACATGTTCATTGGATAAACTGCGTCACATGTTTAAAAACTGTCACAGATTAGTGTTTATTTAGGTGTTCTAAACCTAAACACATGGTTTACAGTGTTTACTTGGGACGAATCCACTCTTGACTAGAGTTTGTTTAACGGTGAGAGAGTTGTGCAGTGCGGTATGAAAATCTGGGGATACTATGATGCCGTCATCGATGTAGGCAAACGAAGTGATTCCTTGTGCGCGCCAATGATAGATGAGCGGCCTGGTGATCTTAGTAAATATGTAACGCGCACTGGAGAGACCGAATGGTAAGACGCGAAACACGTAGAATTTAGTGGTTGAGTTCTTAGATCTCCAAGAAAAACCGAGGTATTTCTGGTGGGGACCAAAAAACGTCAACATGATGGTAGCCAGACTCGAGATCGAAACTGAAATAGTACTGGTTGTGATCTAGAATTTGAAATATGTGGGGTAGATCTTCATATTTGAACTTGGTCTTGTAAACAAATTGATTGGGATGTCGAAGATCTAGAACTAATCTTAGCTTCTTCCCTACGGCAACTGTGAGAGGATTACATCAGTAAGGCGGACTATCGACCTCGTATATGCACCGTTTTCTTAACAGCTCAGAAATGGCTTGTTCGACAAACTCGGGGTGGTCTAGGCTAGATGCATTGTTTTTTGATATGAATGGAGGCGGAGTGGTTAGGAACGGGATTTTATAACCTGAATCCAAAACATCTATAACAAAATTACTGGCCTTCAAAACACTTCAAAAGGAAATGCATTGTTTTAATCTACCTTGAACTCCTTCTGGTGTTTTGCCATCGAGTTGATGTTCCCAAACTCTACTGCTTGTCGGATGTTCTGGATGGTTACAGTCTTGGTTGTTGGAGTGCTCGAAGGGATGGACATGTTGTGCGCACATGTCCTTGGATGCCACATTGGAAGCAGATACGGTTGTCGTGATAGGCTCCCTGGTAGGGACGAAAATACTGCTGACGAAAAGGAGTAGCAGTACGCATATTGGCAGCCATCGTCTTGGTTTGGTATGGTCTGCTGCTACTGCTGGCTCGCTTCTTGGGGGCCGGTTTCTTAGCAGCGGCTGCCTTCTTGGCTTTTTTGATTCTCTTTTCATCGCTGGAGTCCTCGGCGAGGGTATCCGCCACGTACTCCTTGACAACGCCCCAGCCGAGCTCCGATCTGTCGGCGAGTCGAATTAGTTTCTGACGCTCTTTGGTGCCTTTGATTGCTTCTTTCAGATTGCTTTTTGCTTCGTCTAGGTCAAGCGTTTCGACACCCGATACACATCGTATTCAATGGTAATACCATTTGTGTGTTTCCCATCCCAGATGGTAATACCATCCTGTGTTATTATCCCTTAACATGTGCTACAATTTTCAATGGTAAAACTATTGTGTTATCAGTACGGTGTTCTGAAATCTGGGCTTTTAGAATATTCAAATATTATAATTCTCTGTACACGTGGTACAGACTGCGCTGCATGTGACCTAGCTCGTACCCAGGCCGTTGAGGAATGATAGGCTGTGCTAAATACTACGGATGTTGTGTGTGGTTACTTTGTTTTTCTTTCTAATTTTGTCAAATATATTACTTCTTCCAAAGACACGTGTGTTAACTTATGTTTTCCCAGCTTTGAAAAGTTTGTTAATGCAGGTAGCATATGCATGTTTGCTCACTGTACCAAAAAATGTTGGCCCTATACGTACTCGCATGTATTTTTTTTTTTTTAAATATGCATGACGCAAAACCGGCGACACGGGACAGGGAAAATGCCCCCGCCCCGTATTACGGTAATCTTATTGGTTGGCGCATGCAACACAGTGCCCTCCTGTATAGTTTGATTGGTCCCTGGACTTACTTCTACACCAGTTCTATCCTGAAACCTCAGCCCCAGCCTGAGATCGACGTGTAAGTCAGCAAGCAAAATCATCCACGACCTTCTGGGCCCCAGCGGCCCTTGTTCCCGCCTACGGTGTTTTCAGAAGGTAACTTTCTTTTCGAACTGGTTCTTTCCATGCATTTCTACAGTACCTAAAAAAAGTGCCATGCTCACGCCATGCAGCGAAACAGTCGTTGTCTTACTGGCCATGACACGACATGAAACACTAAACAGTCGTTGTCTTGCTCACGACATCCACCATGCACCAGACGAAATTCTATAGCACTAGCGCGCATGAAAGCGGTATGGTACCTAGACATCGGGCACATTTTTCGAAACACGCACACACCACGCACACACCGAGTATACAGTGCATGCCACTGAACCGGTTTTCTGGAGACGCCACCGAAATCAGTCACTTTTGCTCTGTTTCAAGTCGATCATTCTAAGTAACATCTTCGAAAATAACTGCTACATGGTATAAAGGTATGTTTGAATGGAATCTGGGTTGGGATAATACTTATGCTGGAGGGAAAAGGGACAATTGGTTGTGCTTGATCCATCATGTTTGTATCCATGTTGTTAAACTTAAAAAAGGGGATCCCTACTCGACAAGCTCCGCTTTTTGGGGATCTTACATATGGTTGTATGTCTCATTTATCACTTCTGGGATGCTTAGGTGTAATGATGTTCAATTTTCTGAGATATTCTTGAATTTTTCTGGAGCCCATATGCACTCGTAAAACGTCTGGTGATGGCAGCCATTTTTAATGTGTCAAGAGATGACCTCAAGCTGTGACATCGCGTTTATGCAAATTGCTTGTCGAGCGAGGGCGCGAGTTGCAAATGCGACGGCTGTTTCCTTTGCCGTGGATCCTGAATAGAGATCAGTGCACGTGGCCCCCAGACGATAAATGCATGGTACATAGCTGGAGTTACCCAGCCCTGAGTTTTATCATTGGGTTGTCTATTACTAGGGCTGGAGCGCATTTTTCTCAAAACTTGTAGTATTTGCAAAAAAAATTGGGAAAATGTTCAATTTTGTCCCCGTTACACACTAATTGCAACTGCAACTCACCCCAAACTTGCCTGGAATAACCATTACACAGGTCCTTGAAGTAAAAAACGATCCACGATGAAGATTCAGCCTACAATTGCAGTGAAAACAGGAGGAATAACCGCTAACTTGACAACCTTGCTGGATTGGCCAGGACCGCTATTGGTTTGTGCACACAAAAAATTGTGTACAATGAATGGCGGTCGATTAACAGGCACAGAGAGCGATCGCTGTCAACTACTCGTTTTTGCCGGCTGCGCTGCTGTTGGCGCGTGACGTCACGCGGAAGCGTAACACCCGATGACTGTTTCATGCACTATTGGTTGCGGTTCCAGTACCAAAGCTGTGATGCGAGTGGTAAACCTTATACTAGAGCATGAAACAGTCATCGGGTGTTACGCTTCCGCGTGACGTCACGCGCCAACAGCAGCGCAGCCGGCAAAAACGAGTAGTTGACAGCGATCGCTCTCTGTGCCTGTTAATCGACCGCCATTCATTGTACACAATTTTTTGTGCACAAACCAATAGCGGTCCTGGCCAATCCAGCAAGGTTGTCAAGTTAGCGGTTATTCCTCCTGTTTTCACTGCAATTGTAGGCTGAATCTTCATCGTGGATCGTTTTTTACTTCAAGGACCTGTGTAATGGTTATTCCAGGCAAGTTTGGGGTGAGTTGCAGTTGCAATTAGTGTGTAACGGGGACAAAATTGAACATTTTCCCAATTTTTTTTGCAAATACTACAAGTTTTGAGAAAAATGCGCTCCAGCCCTAGATGACAACCCAATGATAAAACTCAGGGCTGGGTAACTCCAGCTACATGGTACAGGAAACAGCTGTCGCATTTGCAACTTGCGCCCTCGCTCGACAAGCAATTTGCATAAACGCGACGTCACAGCTTGGGGTCATCTTGTCACATTCAAAATGGCTGCCATCACCAGATGTTTCCTTTCACGAGTGCGGCTCCAGAAAAATTCAAGAATATCTCGGAAAATTGAACATCATTACACCTAAGCATCCCAGAAGTGATAGATGAGACATCATAGAATACAACCATATGTAAGAAACTGAACGTAATTTTTATAAAAACGCCCTCAGTAGTGCGTGGTCCACGGTGTGTGGCCAGAGGTTCAGCGCAGCATACCGCGGCCACACTAGTGGGGCTATTGTTACGGCAGCCGTAACGCATTTCCCATTTTCTATCGTTACGGTAGACTGCAACTTTTATAAAAACATGACAAGAAAATATACAAGGAAAAAAGTGAATTTGAACGTTATGAAATTCGGACTTTATTTCCCTTTTAAAAAAAACATGCCAAAGCCTCAGGTTAGAAAAGGAAAAAAATTCGAGTGCAAAACTGAGATTCGAACCGCAACCTCGCGGTGCAAAATTCTACCCTCTATCGACTGAGCTGTCGCACTGCTCGCTAAAACGTGGGGAAACAAATAATTATATACCTGCGTGCGTATCAAAAAAGTATCGTAGAGGGCGCTAAACAACGACTGCTGTAACGATAGCCACTTCGATGAATGAATGAATGCATGTCCGTGTAGCCTGTAGGACATGACGGATCAATAGTACAACTAGTACAAGGTAGCCTTAGGCTTTGCGCTTTAGTCCCTAAAAATAAAATGTGGCCAATTGACTGTTACCTCTGTAAATAAAGGCCATGCTTCCACCATATACAAATACATGTCGAACTTTGTCAAATTGTGATTTTCACATTTAGGTTTAGTTTGTACTTGTTTGTATTTTTTTTTCTTTAGAAAGAAGCATACTCACCCTCTTTATAGGCTAATCAGAAAATGCTGTCTTTTTCCAGATAGGCCCTAGGCCTATGTCTAATTTTTGTGAAATTTTCAGATTTGTTTGCACACGTTTGCATATCAGGAAAAAGTTCCATACTCGATCGCCACTTTTTTCAATTATTTTCTAGCGCCAAAAGTTACATCTTTTATGATTATTCCTCCACTTTCCCTCCTCTACTCTCACCCTCTCCCCTCCTTAATTTCTATTTATCAATTAGTCGTTTACTTCATCGAGATTCGAACCTCGGACGCTTGCTTGATACACGAGACGAATGTCAGACAAGTCGACCGTTGAGACAACTCGACTCGGGACAAGTCGACCGTTGAGACAACTCGACCGTTGAGACAAGTCGACCGTTGAGACAACTCGACTCGGGACAACTCGACCGTTGAGACAGCTAACGTGCACGGCACGTGCACGGTACGGCCACACGGTTGACCGGAGATGCGCGCACAGGCCCGGCAAAAACAAACGATGTGCATGCACGGACAGTCACGCTGCGCTATATCGGCTCTGCTCTGTTATATGCAACAAAACAAAGTCATGTGTCATACATGTAACTCCCAAACGGCGATCAGCCGCCGTCAAAATCCCCGGTACTATCCCCAAAACTAGGCCCAAAATCATGCGAGGCGACTTGTCTCAACGGTCGACTTGTCTTTCCATTTATCGCACATACGGTAGAGTTGTCTCAACGGTCGAGTTGTCTCAACGGTCGAGTTGTCTCAACGGTCGACTTGTCCCGAGTCGAGTTGTCTCAACGGTCGACTTGTCTGACCCCCCACGAGACTCTTAACTGCTAGGCCGCGCACAATCGTTGTTGCAATAATCAATCTTTGGACGTATTTGAAGTATCCATTGAAATAAACTAAATATTCATGAGAAAATAAATAATCATAATGACGTATGGCACTATCATTGACCGGCTCATGCGACGTCATGGTTATCGATGTCATGCGTATAACGTACCGCTGTTCCAGACATTTCAATCAGTGAAATTTTACGAAAATTAGACATCTGAAAAAGGCAGCACTTTCTGATTGCCTAAAGGAGGTGAGTATGCTTCTAAAGCAAAAAACTACAAACTAAGCCTAAATGTGAAAATCAAAGTTTGACAAAATTCGACATGATTTTGTACATGGTGGAAGTGTGGCCTTTATTTACGGAGGTAGTCCAGTAAATTGGCCACATTTATGGGGCTAGTACAAGCCTAGCCCTACTAGTGTGGCCGCAATATTACTGCGCTGTATCTCTGGCCACACACCAGGTTCTCGCCCACCACTGAGGAGGTTCTCAAAAAATTACGCGAATTCTCTTACATATGGTTGTATTCAATGATGTCTCAGCTGTTCACTTCTGGGATGCTTAGGTATAGGCCTAATAACATCCAATTTTCCGAGACATTTTATAATATCTCTGGAGCCCACATTTGCTCTAAAAATTCATCTGTCGATGGCAGCCATTTTGAATGTACGAAGCAATGACCCCAAAGCTGTGACGTCGCGCTTATGCAAATCGATCTTGTCGCTGAGGGGTGGGGTAAGGTTTGGACGTTGTGTTATTTAGCAAAGATCTGTATTAAATGTACCTACCCCTTTCTCTCTTTACAATCGAAGATACATGTTTTTTTTAGTGAAAAACGAGGCTGCCATAATCCATTTCGCACAGGCATCACGAACTTTGAATAACAAAAAATTTTCTTACGTGACGTGACGTGACGTGCAAAGCACGTGAGCGCATTATGGGCGTGCAATCTTCGAAACTGGAATTCCAGACAAAAACATTGCGTCTATCAAAGTGCATTTTCAAAAGCCATAGCGTATTGACACCTGAAAAATCACCATGCTAGAACAGAAGGCTAACGGAGCCATCTTTATTTAAAAGTAATAATATGTGTACATTGTACTAACAATTGAGATCTAGGTCTTTAACCATTAACAAGAGCGACTCTGACCGTTGCGGTTACCAGTTGCACTGCACGCACCTGTTTCCTGGCCTATGCATACCTGGAGTAGCCCGGGTGTGCATACCTGGAGTAGCCAAAAAAAAGGCCTCTTTTTTCACCTCTTTAAAAGTGGTGAGTGTTTACATGTACTTGATACCCGGACGAAAATGGAAAACATTGGCCATGAAATTCAAAACAGCTGGCATTAACGTCTGGTGGTCGTTTTAACACTACTGGTGAATCCACATGTCATGAGCATGTGGATTAAATGCTGTGGGGCTTAGGGTTGTCCAATACCTGGGACATAAGATGTAAGTAATTAACTACCTGTACTTCCAGAATAGCCCCATAAATATGGCTCATACTGGAATATCTCTAAATATTTAGAGATCTATCATTTAGAGAGACATGTTTCAATGTCTCCCAATCTTTTTCTTATTTATTTTGTAATAAGTGACAGATAAAAAAAATAGCTGTTTTGTCAATGATTTAAACATATATATCATTATTTATAGAGATATCTCAAATTCATTTAAAGATAATGTTTAAAGATATCTCTACAGCTTTTAGAGATATCTTAAATTTATTGTAAGATATCTTTTAATACATTACAGACATCGTCAATAGCACTTAATTGTTTTCAAGACTTTGCAAATGCTATATGACTCCTCATAAATATGGTTTATCTTTTTGTCTTCACAGATGCCAAAAGTTTGGCACCCCAAGTTTAAGGCTTATACAATTAACAGTCGGACAAGGAGGGCCTGTGGGGAGGAGAAGGTTTTGACGCATAATTTGTCTGAAGATGGGCCCGGTGATCAGTATACTGTGCCCCTCCGTGAGGCTAGAGAGCAGATGGAAGTATCACAGGCTGATATCAGGGATGATATTCCCAGCTGCTCAACTCACCAAGCAATGAAAGAGGCAAATTTGTCATCATGGCAGCTTTGCAGGCAACACATAGAGGATGCGTACATGGAGTCTCTGGTGTCGCAGACAGAGTACTGCTGTTCCTGCAATGTACATTGTGAGGAGCAATATCTGTGCAAAGACTGTAGTCCTCACATTGTACGTTGCACGGAGTGCACAAGGGCAGTGCACCAAAATAACAGCCTGCTCCACAAGCCAGAAAAATATGTGGTATGAAATTGTTTTGTATATTAGTTAAAGGGACGATGCATCTTGGAACAGCCTGATTGGGCTACAAGCGCTTCGAACAAAATAATGTTAATAGGAAAGAACATTAAAAAGTAGGATATAAACATCCACAAAATTATCCATTAAAAACTGGGCATTATTGTTTTAATCGTGTATTATGCCTGCGAGAATGACTTTCAGGGTCCACTTTTGCGATCCCAAAAAGTCGAGTAAGTTGTGATTTCATCCGTTAAGTAATTTCATCCGTCCTTTTGCGGACATGAAAGAAATTACATTGGTGGTTGGTCACCGCTGTTTGTGAGCACGGTGCTGTACAGACACATACAACGTGTATCGTACATTGAAACGACAGGAAAAGCGTAGTTGTATTCCGTCGCATCTGATGTAAACAACAGGGGTTTTTTTGTCTTTTTTTTCATGAACAGTAAGACATTAGGTTGCTTTCCTTTCAACCAGACGTTTGAAATACGATAAGTAAACGATCCAAAACATTGCATTTCCTGGGATTTCAGGACCTAGTGCCTCTTTAAAGCAAGGCACCCTGCAGTTTGTAGTAAATGAGTGAATTCCATGGACCAACACATTACGGAGCTAATCCCATGACCCCGCTACTCAAATAAATTTAAAAATACAAAAACATCAACACATCTATATCTGTATCTGTATCCGTAACTGTATCTTTATCCTTATCCGCATCTTTATCTGTATCTAAACATGTATCTCTATTTTTATCTGTATCTTTATCTATACATTTTCATGTATATACATTTTTTCCCCACAGGATGGTGAGCTACAGCCAGTACAGCTCATCATCTTATACAGACGGCAAAACCATACCTGCATAAGCAGCTACACAAAGCAGATGCAAGTATACGATGCACTTGGTAAATATACGTCGGAATGTCATTGCATAATAATACAGATGTGATAGATATGTGTTGCTTCAGGTTTTTGTTTGGTGTTTAAAAGGGCACTTCGTGCTCCGTTTTATGCACAGGATGTATTTCCTTTTTATGCACAGGACGTATTCACGAATCACAGTTTGCTTTTTGCCGCTGTGAGGCCGAAGCAGTGACTCTTGTGCGTCATCATTTTTGGCCTTCAACTCCCCACTCCCCAAGATCAGCAATCCATTTAGATCTAATGGATTTGCTGGTCTTTCTCCTACTTGAGGCAAGAACTTCACTTCATGCATCTTGTCAAACGTTAAGATGGAAAAATGGCCTAACTGCTGAAGAGGTACATGTATATCTCAAGTCATATAATTATTTCAAATCTTTTTCCTCATTTTTCAGCACACTTTTCCAAGTCTGGTTTCTAGTTTATTTAAGTAAGTCTATAAATTGAATCAGATTTAGTTAATTTGTCTGCATATCAATCAGTCAATTAATCAATCATATATTTTTTGTTTTGAACTCGAAAAGCTGTATTCCCCCTTGTTACAATTGTTTATTTGGAATGAGCCTATCAGAAAAGTGGATTACTTTTGGTTGATAAAGGGTACTGCTGACAACGTAGGTTCTCTGCATTTGACGGACTTGCATTGATATTTGAGCAAGTTTAGAACAGGTTCACATGTGGCAAATGAGAATTTATACTTATTGTTCAACAAAAATCACACTGTTAACAAAACAATTGATTCTGTTTTTATTTACCTACATCATTTTGTAGTGTAGCACTTTGTATAGAGTTCTTCACAACGAGACATTTGAAGAGTACAGACATTTTAAGTATCAAGTGTCATCACTTCAAGTAGTATCGCCCTCTTTGGATGATGGAACAGCTTGTCCTGCATGCCCCACTGTAAGTTCAAGTACCGTCATGATTTTGCCATGGCCTCAAAACAAGTGAAAAAATGCAGGAGTGAAGGCTTTGGAGCATTGAGAAATTATGTTCATTAGGTCAATAAAGTGTGACTCTTACAAGGCTAGTAAACACGCTACCATAGGCTAGGATAAATACCCATTCATAAAATTGAAATCAGGAAATAATTCTGTTCATGTATTTGGTTATTTACAGTTTGTGGTCTCATGGCTGAGAGCAATTTTACCATGGCTATTAGGGGAAAGTGGACATTTTGCAAGGATGCTCAGTCCACTCAAAAAAGGGGATCAAAATGAGTACAAGACATCATGCTAAAGAAATTTCAAACTTTCTGCACGATGCATGTTTGGGGTAATACTGGAGAAATATTGGAGAAAATGGGGGTATCCCCCCCCCCCCATTTAGTAGCACACACATGTAGAGGACTAGACACGTGTTGAAATATAAAGATGGGGGAAGGACCAATAATGTATCCACTTTTCTCAACAAAAAAACATACAGCAAGACGTGATGCGATCAAGCTAAATGAGTCGTTTTTCAAGAATTGTTATTTGGAGATACAGGCCAAAATAGGGCCACTTCATCACATCACTTCACCACATCACTTGATGTTCCGACTTCCGTAATTTTTTAACTAAAGATGGTATCAGCATGCGGTTTTCACAGCAGTAATGTTGAGATTGGGCTCTTTTCAAAAATCTCTTTTCAAAATTTCTTTTGACCAGGGTCGACAAACAACTCATGTAGCTTGATCGCATCACATATACTTTCAGGTAGTGAAGATGCATGCTTACTCTTTACATAATAATACAATAAAATCGAATGACTGTTTGTTTCTGCAGGTCAACGGTTCACTGTTCTTATGTCTGGATGGCAATTTTGGCCTGGTCCGGAAAAGTAACTCCGGATTTAGTACCAACCCCCCGAAGCATAAAACCCGTATGTTTGCTGACTCCAAAGATGTGGATGAGTTTGTTGGCAACCAGACAGAGGACAAAGACCCAGAACAGGTAAGTACCGGTAGTTTCATGCTTACATTTACATATTTACATATTTTGTACGGTCATTCTTTAACGTTCATGTAGTTTCTTATTTTTGTTTTGTTCCTCAAGTGAAAACAAATATAGTAGAGCCTATGCATTATTTACCATATTTTTCAACTACCCAAACTTTCATTCACCATTGAAATGCAGAAGAAATTTTAAAATGAATTTTTTGGACCACTTTTTTTCTCAGCCTGACAAAGATATAATTCTCCACTTATATTACAGAGGGCTCCACCCCATATTGAAATCATTGGAATGGTATATATTGATTTGATTTAAATTTATCTCATTATTTTAGGACTGTAGTATGTTTCAGGCTGGCGATATCTTGAGATCTAAAAACAAAGCCCGGGGTTTAACTTCAACTGGTGTCTTTGGCTGCTCTTGCCGTCATGGAATGCCCAAGTTGTTTTTGGATATGAGACATGGAGAACGGTAGCTACTTCAGAATTTATTTGTTCATAATTATACTGTGCACTGATTAAAAAGCACTGTTTCTTCAAGATTAATTTCATGTTTTTCATTGAGTTGAAGACAAGTTTCTCTTAGCGTATAGTTGACATGGACTTGCACATTGTGGGACAGAATGGTCAGACACAATTTCAAACTTTTGCAGCTGTTGGGCTTCTGCATGATACAAATTCAAAATTAACTTTTCAAATATAATGTCTCTAGGGCCATCCACAAAATGTGTATCCTAATTTTTTCTACTCACAAATTCTAATTGTATTTTCCAATTGTGTATCATTTTATTAGATTTTGTTATTTTTGTATTCCATCAGGATGGCATATTCTGTGTTTGTAGTAAATCTGCTCAGAGCAGAATTGAACCCCGGACTAAAACTCCATATCATATATGACATTGCCTGCAAGCTTGACAGACACCTGGAGGTATGATACAAGGGTATGGTGTAGCGGGGAGTTTGATTTCTAATCCTTGCCTAAAAGCTAAAACAATTAATTAAAACTTAAAAAAATGTCTTTGGATTTGAATACGAGCCACATTGCAGGATTTAATGTCCTTCATTATACAAATTTACTAGCATGCCCTTGAACCCCTAGTATGGTGATTCGAATCCCATGCCATTGCATTTAAAACCCCCAACCAATAATCCTGGCTACATCCCTGTGATACTTAAACAATTTTTTTTATTAAATCAAAACTGATGACCTTTCTAATTTACAGAATTCATTCTGGTCAGTGTGAGATGTAGTCTCTAATGTAGATTATGGTTAAAAGAAAATGTAGTATTTTAGGAGGCACAGAGATAAACATGTATGTTTTAGCCAAGCATTACTTCAAAGGTTGTATGTTTTAGCTGCTCTGGTGTGTTTATAGCTCAAAATATAATTTAACCTTGATGAAAATTGTTTTTATACTGACTAATGTTCTTGTATGCATATAACATTTAATGCAGAGGGAAAAAAGACTAACAAATATAGAGTTATATTCGCAAGTTGAATACAGGCGTAAACCCCCTTAGAATTTTGGTTGCATGATTCCAAATTCTCCACAGTCCTCAGCTGAGAGTGACAAAATAATGGACATGAATTATAAAATGTGTCAACTATCTAATGTATTTAATTCAAATATGTATTTAATCCTTTTTTTTCCAGAGACACTATCCAACAGACCGCTATTCAGATGTTATCTTGGGCCTTCCAGTGTTCCACTCATATGGTCATAAAATGAATTGCCAGGTATTTTTGGCCATGGGTAGAGTCCTTATAAACTCAGTTTGTTTGTGAGATATATCATTTTGGATAGCACATGCACACTCATGTAGATTTTCCGAGTGCTTCTTTATTATATAGAATGGGGATTTCATTCTAAAGTCTGCATATTCGTATCATATTATGCTATGTGCATTAATGACATACATGCATATTCACTGCCAGGTCCAATACAGCACGCGCTGGAAGCAGGGTTTCGGCTTGACAGATGGGGAGACCATGGAAAGACTCTGGTCATACCTGAGACGATTCTCTGCCATCACGAAAGAGATGACTCCCTCACACAGGGTTGACCTCTTGACTGATGGCCTTCTCCATTTTGCAAGGAGAAAAAGAGATTCACTTGGTATGTCTGCTATTTCTTTTATTACAAGTAATTTTTTTGAAGTAAGTTGTGTTGCAAGTTAAGCACGCACATTGACTTTCATTTGGATTGTCAGGGCCTTTGTACAAGCAGTACATATTACCTTATCCTCTTATTCTTGAAGAAGATATTGTTAATAAGCTTAAAAGCTTTAAATGTTACACATATGAAACTGGTTTTGATATGTTGATATGCCTTTACAGCAGTTTCTTTATATGTGGTAACCGAACGTATGTGTGTACTTGCGATTATTTCCTATTCGGATTCAGTGACAACCTCCTGGATATTCTGGTGATTTCATTACAAACTGCATTTAGACAACTTTCTTCTCTAAGGAATGAGTCAAAAGAGTGTTGTCTGTTTAATGAGGGATCATTTTACTTTCGTACAAGTACCTCTTGTCTTTCAGGTCACAGTTTGGTCAGTAGCATGGAGAAGGCATACAACACTGTAGAAAAGTCTCAGCTTGAGCTTGATACCCTGCTTGCTGAGTGGGGAGGTAAGCTCGAATCCGAAATACACATGTGCTTCTGTATGAAGAGTTTACATAAAGTTATACTATGTACATATGTATGCATTTCAAACATCTGTCTGCATGCACACCATAACTGACGCTAAAAAAAAGTCCCATTGGCCCATGTTGAATGGGATTTACCATTCAATAGTTATAGGATAATCCTTGTTGCATGTTGTTGTATTTGTATGCAAATGCATGCTGGTGTGTGCATTCAGCATTGCAAATAGCACACATCATTCCCAATAGCCAGTAGCGACACAGAGTTTGGTTCAAACACTTCGTGAAGGGGTGGATTGGAAGAGAGAAATACATTTCCCAACAATGTTGTAAAGAAATAGAAGTTCATTAACTGTAAATCAAATGACAAGGGTCTATAAGTCAGTTATATAAAACAAATATTGTGTGGCTTTAAATTGTGAAATGGGAGGAATAAAATTGCTGGGTAAAATCAGGACTTTTCCATTTCGTTCGGTTTCGCATCTTGAAAGAAAAACAATATTTTACCTTGTGATAGTATTCCTCCAATTCCACTCTGAGCCACTATTTGTATACTATACCATGCATGTGACCTCTACATATTAAATACATGTAGTATGAAACATTGCATGGTGAATTGGTGTACTGCACTTTCCATCAAAGTTTTTTTCAGTGTTAGATAACTAGTTTTAAAATTTTATGATTTGTTTACCTGAATTTTTTTTGAGGTATTTCACATTGAACTGTTACATGAATAAACAGGAGCAATGTAGTGTAGCATTTCAAAAACGCTAATGCACACTAAAAACAATGTTGAAAAGATGATGACTTTGACAGCTGTGAACCTGATAATTGGTTTACTTTCTTGGTTTCACTCAGTAAAGCACATTATTAGTCGTGGTTGGACAAATTGATGTAGGCCCTACACACTTTTAAGGTTGTCATTTATACCTTTTTGTAAGACAGCAAGTTTTCAAATTGTAAACCTTTCTTGCTTTTTTTTCTTCGCTGTATTGAAAATCCTAATGCTTCATTTTTTGTTAGTTTCCCATGCTGCAGTCAAGGAAGCACAGGCAGCAGACAGGCTTCATGCTGAACAGAAGCCATCAAATAAAAAGCAAAGTACGTATTGACTAACGGACAAACTGTATTCCTACATGTATGTACTAGTCAAAATACTTTTTGAAATATCCATCTGATTGCATATTAAGCAATCAGTAAATCAGTTTGTATAGTTTCTTTTACAAACAGGCATTTGAGATCAAGGTTGTTAGAAGATATATAGGGATGAAGGCTTTCTGACTGCACTCGAAACAAATGAAGTGACTGTTCGAAGTTTTTGTAATTTGATTCTGTGCATACACCCATCTTTTGGTCGAAGAAAAGAAATGATTAGGCTTCATGCTTCATACTTAGGGAGGACCCATCTCATTTAATGTCCTGGACAATCTTCCAGCAACTGGCTGTAAATATTCTATTCTGTATTTGTTTTTGTGTTATAGTTATACATATTGCATGGAGACTTTCATTAGCCGCTGCTTTACTTGCAAAACTGTTTATATCATTTGCAGGAACATTGTAGGAAAGTTGTTGAGAATCATGTCAAATATACCCAATATTGTGGCCCTTACTTGTCCTGGCTATGAATTGACACTGGCCCGCAAAAGTACATGTACATTTGTTTTGTGTGTATATGTGCTGACTCAATGTTGCACATTTTTGGTGAACAGAAACTGGTTGGCGTGAAGAGTATGTACATCTACTTATGAACTATGACCAACATCTGTAAGTTGAGTAGGCATAACAAAAATTTGAATTGTTTGATCAATCATCAATGTCTTACACAGAAATATTTTGTTATTAATCACGTGTTTCATTTCAGTTTTGTTTTGTTCTGTTTTTAATTAAATTTAATATATTTTATTTTACGTTGTTCTTGTCGACTGGTCTCGTCTTGTCTTGTATGTTTGGCTCGTCTGGTCTTGTCTGGTCTCGTCTGGTCTCGTCTAGTCTGGTCTCTGTGTCTATTTCTGTCCCGTCTTTTACTTTACTTACTTATGTTTTGTTTGTTTGTTTTTGATTACATTGGGGGATGTTAGATACAAACAGTGCTTTTGTGGGTATAGATAGTGGTTTGCATTTACGTTTTTGATGGGAACTTGGTGTCCTATCCAGTGGGGCACGGGGGGGGGGGGGGGGGGGGGGGGGGGGGGGGTGGGGGGCGGGGGCTTGAGACCCCCCTCCCCCCTCCCCCCCCCCCCCCCAGGTTGTCAATTTATTTATTTGTTTTTTTTATTTACTTATTATTTTTAGTCCCACAATTTGGCATTGGTGAAATGAATGTGGCCTGTTTTCGAGTAGTATAATAGGGGTGTAAGTGGCGCCAGAATAAAAATAGTAATTCATTAATTTATTAAAGGTAATCTGATTCTATTGTTCTCAGACATTTTGGTTGCAAGTTGTTAGCCATCGTATAAACAATTGTGTCTCCTGTAACTATGCTTTCAATTTGTACACAGTGCCTAATGCAGTATGTCCGCTCAAGATTATCTGACTGTTTTGTTGGTATTTAATCATTTCATACAGCGACCAGGTGCAATTGTGCAGCGATCCCAAAAGGACGCGTGTTCTTATAACACAGAGTGAACAGTAAGTTATTTCTTTCCATATTTGCTGCAAGTCAGACAAAATGTCCACTGATTTAAAAGTAACATAAAATCATTGGATCCCATTCCCACATAACAAGACTGAACCATGATATTGACAAAAACGCATAGAATGGTTTTTTTTCTTAATATATTAAACATCATTTCTGTGTACAAATCAAGGTATATACATGTACACTACAACAGTGCATGTAAATAGAATTTGATTTACTTGCTGAAGTAAAAGGTTACAATGTTATTCTAGATTGTCTGCCAAACTGCTGTCAACAGAGGCAAAGTACCACATTCCAAACAGATGGACTTCGGACTCGAAGGACTACCGTGTAGCTCGTACCAGTCTGGAGAGAAGAAAACAACAGGATCTGCTTCAGAGATTGTGGCGAGAATCGGTAGAATACAGGTTTTGCCTGAACACTAAAAACAAGTACAGTGGTGAGATATTGTATATTTTCATTTCTACTTTTCCTCTTTGTATTTCTGCTAAATCATCTGGCATGCTTCTATTGTTTATAAAGTGTGATATCATTTTCTAAGGAATGGTATTTGATGTTGCACATTTAAGTAATAATAATACGTGTAATAAGACATGGCATAGCTTTTTTTACCTGATCAATGTGCTCATTTTTGTTTTCATACTATGTTTGTGACACCTTTTGTAACCTTATGATTCGCGGGTATTTGGCCAATAGCCATAGCCTTGGTAAAGTTTGAGATTAATATTGTAATTATGAAATTAACAACAAAAATACCGTTTTCAAACCTTTCTAAATTCCACTATCTCTATCACACCAAACCTTTTTAATGGCCACCAAGGTCAGGTGAGTCTTCTCATTCATGGGTGCTGAGCCAAGGCATGCACCATCCCATTTTCCCCAATTCCCACTCAGCCCAGCTACTGGTGCTGGTATTAGTGAAAGCGTGCATTTGATGCATGCTGGCTGTTTGCTAGCCCAGGGCTCCAGTATCAAGGCCTATTGACCCCAGTGTGTTGACAGACGGCTGTTACAGACATGTCTTTACCTGACCTTGGCAGGTCTATGTTTATGTACAAACTGTGTTTCTGGAGTACATGTACATGTATTACTTTTGTAGTTGGGATTTTCCAGATTTGAAAAGTCCCATTTCCACTTTCCACTTCCCATTAAACGCCTCGAAATTTATGTAGACTTCGAGTGAATGCCTCGAACATTCCTGTATACATCGAGACTCCAGTGAATGCCTCGAAAACTCATGTAGACTTTTAGTGAATGACTGGAATTGCTTGCCACCGCAATGATGCGTGGCCCGAGTCAAATAGGAGTTTGTGTTTACACCTATGGCCAGCTCCAGACCAGTTTGAATATGCCTACCATTACGTTGTTCCGCGCGGCATAATGCATTTTGTTGTAATTGTATATGGTGCGAGAAAAGAACAAAACTACATGTACGTATTCATTGATTCAAATTTTTTTTATCTCTATTGAAGTACAGTACAGTAATGCATACTTCAAATAGAGCATTTGATATTTCATTTTATTTAAGATATATCAGGAAACAAAATAAATAACGTACAATTATGGCATCATATCATTTTGAATGGTGTTACTATAAATACCAACACCAGTGAGCACCATATATTCTAATGGAATGCGTTGACCTGATGAGGACACAAGAACCACAAGATCAGATTAACTAACTGTCCCATTCACAGAGGTAAACAATGATCAGATAAGCTTATTATGTGCCCAGTTGGCAGCCAAATTACTGGTGTAATGCAAACATGCTGTGAACAGAACAGCAGCACGTGTACAGCTAGATGTTAAGTTGCATATGTGCATCTAAATGTTCATACTGTGGAGGCATTCACTAGAGTGTGAGTATGCATTTTCGAGGCATTTAAGGGATCTTGGAACTTGAACCTTGACACTGGAACTTGAAACTCAGAAAGAGGAACACTCGTATTTCTGTGTCTCCATCACAACTTGGAAATTTTGTTGTCAGTGCTGATCAATAACTTAAAAGGGCATTTGCAATTTTGAGTTTTATTTGTAACAAAGTTTTTTCCAAATGTGTTTTTATATGTTAATGCAGAGGGACAGGCAATTGCCCAAAGGATATCAAAACAAATCTCCCGGGCATCAAAGGCCATCAAGCGCACTGTTACTGTGTACAATAATGAGAAGTTCACTCTGGTTGGCCCACGGTCCATTATCCTGAAGGACGCCTTTGACCCTAGTGGACACCTTTATGCTGAGATGGACATGGTGATTGTAAATTCCTATCTACATGTATTCGTTTGCGGTTCAATGGGAACTTTAAGATGAGGTGTATTTATTGTAAAACATTACGATAAACTACCAGTAGGCTACACGGATTACCCACTGAAAGCCCAAAAAGATTGTGTTGCCCTCACCTGACCTCACTAAAAGGATCATGTCTGCAACAATTGAATAGGAGACGTCGACTTTTGAAAATGAACATTTTTAAAATTAAATTTAAAAAATGTAGCATGACTCAAAATCAAAATTCAGTATTCTGAGAAATTTCTTGGTACCCGCCATTTACTTCTCCATTAAGCCCAACGGCATATTGTGCCGCTTGGGTGCATGTGTGGTACGATAGCCAAGATTAAATGTCTGTGCAATGATGTCCATGATGGTGATGTTGGGAACGAAGCAACTGTAGTTGTGTCGCCAGCTTGTCTTTTTTATTCAACATGGTCAATAACAGACCCAATAATTGCATCATATGAATACAAAAGTTATTAACAATGGCTGTTATTGAGGAAATCGACAGTTCTTTCCACATCTTCAATGAGAGGAAGGATTAGCTATTATATGCACTATGTGTACTTAACCCCTCCCCCCATTTTGTTCATTTGAGGGCAAAAACAATTTTTCGGCCTAATGGTTTTAACAACGTTAGGAATTGTAATTGCACTTTGGTAATCTTGTATGTCTTTGAGTCCATATAACTGACACTTTTGTAAACATATATTCTCACAAGTTTATTGTTCTCACTACAAACAGGTTAGTAAGCACACGGACCAGACACGACTGCCAGACGCCATCCGCCGGAAAGCGGTAGATTTGCAAAATCTACTGGACAGGGCTTCTGAGGAGAAGTCCATCCTGACCCAAGAAATGAAAAACGTCCTAGAATTCACCAGGTCTCAGCTGAGGGGCTACCAGCAGGCTAGTGCAACTTGCCTTAGGGAGGGTCAATTAGGCAAGGGAGTTCTCCTCAGGGCCAAAATTAACGACCTAGCTAGAAATTTGGAAAATTATAAGGCATTGTTTGAACCTTCCTTTCATGACACTATGCCAAGTGCTTACTTGTATGATTGGGATGATATGAGTGATGATGACGACAGTGATGAAGATGACAGCGACGTCGAGGATATAATTAATGTATAAGTTCAATACAGAGTTGTGGTTCCAGTTTACAGTTGAGCACATAATGAAGCACTGTGGCCCTCCCCATCCTTCTCACTGCAGAATTTCATTCAAGGGAATATACAACATCGGCAAACATCGGAAAAAAAACTACATGTATCAAGTTTTACGAAATTCTTTTCTAGGATGATGGTAAATGACAGTCTAAAGCACCCTGTAAAAGTATGTCACATGGTATGAAGTCATTTTCAAGAAAATGAACTGTTTGTATACATTTCCAACGGTGGCTGGCCGACCATCATTGGAAAAACCTAACTATCTTTCCACTACTACTCCAAATTTACGATTTTTTTTTTTCATTCCAAATTTTGTTTGCTGTTGGTTACATGTTCATGAACGGGTGGAGGCCAGTTAGACTGGTTCCCTTACCTTACAGTTTTCCGGCATCTATAAATTGATCCATTTTATCCTTATTGGAGTCAGGGAACCAGACTACTTGAAAATTTTTGTTTTTCTTGATTTTGCCAGCATTTTCGAACACAAAACTTCAAACATGTCAGTGTAACAATATTTGATCTACAAATGTATCATACTAACCCCTCAAATAGTTCATTTCTGAAAATTACAGTAAAAGTCAATGATGTACATTCCCTTTAACTGCGTGTGCGTTTGAAGACAGGTGTTTGTAATGTTGAAAACATGTTTCCAAGGGCTATTGACTTGTTCCCCCCCCCCCCCCCCCTGGATACGCCACTGCACTCATTCAACATGAAGTGACACCCTGTCATATTGCTCTTGTTTAGCGTATATAATATGGGTGGTTCCCTTATGATCATACACTCAGACCGGATTATTTTGGATGTTATGTTGTGTGAATTTCTGTGAATTTAGCAACCAGCTCGTTATTGTGCAATTAAACAGGAAAGCACTATTTGATTTCCTCTTGCAATCTACCGCAACCGGTAATTATAGGTTATTCAACCTATTTTAAGCTCATGATTTAAAGTACTTTACCTTTGTAGTTGTAACTATTGTGTGGGTTTCTTGCCAATTGCAAGAATTGTTTTAATCAGAGAGTTTCAACTGGGCATATCTGTCGAAAAGGTGATTCAGTTTAGCATCCTATAGGTTTTTAAGTACATTGTAATTAAAAGCACCAGCATTCTGGAAATGGAACTTGAGATTGGGGGGGGGGGGGGAATGAAGATTGTTTACGGATGAAAACAGTTGGGCAGTCGTGTTTGGACAAACATCCACCCCGCCCACCGGACCCCAGACCCAGATACGCCACTGCTTATTAAAGACTACAGTTGAACCCTGCTTGTACTGTACCTGTTATAACAAGTTTATTTGTAAAGTCCCAATGACCTTGTTAAAAAGGTGTTTGACTGCGTATTCAAGTTCAGTTAAGGGTCCGAATTCACATCGATGTGTGTTATGACTGCAAATTTCCTATGTACACAGTTTGTTATGTAATGGGCCTATACATGCATCAGTATGCTACTTTCAAATTATTTTAATTACGGTTCGTGTATGTTTATATTACGTACATGTATCATAGTCATGTCCTTGATGCATGTGTGACATGTTTTGCTTGTGTAAACTGGTTTCGCAATATTATGTTGCCGTCTACTGTATTGAAAGAAGACAAATTGTACATTAGGATATGTCATGCTTAATAAGTTGTATCAATTTATGTAGTTTAATATGAACACATTTTATTGCCATTAAAATTTCCCAGCTGTTCACCAAATTCACGTTGTGCATTCTGTTAAGACTTGTATTGGTATTTCATTATCCCAGTTGATATGAATAATTTTTCAAAACCACTTATTTACTTTTAAGTGAAAGTATATATAAGGAAAGAACATTTGAAGAAATTAATTCGGAAAGAATTTAATAATGAATGCATTAATGAAAAATAAGGCGGAAAGAAAATTCTTCAAATGGAGTATTGATTTGAAGTAGTACTTTTACGGGTGTACTGATTCGCTTTTTGTACTTATCATGTACCTATCTTGAGGTTGCAATGAACCTGTCGATTTTTATGGGCGACATGCAAAATGATAATTTATTTGGTAAAGGAAAGTGCATAGGCCTAACAGTAGGCCCATGTATTAACGAACGGGCATTAACCCCCCCCCCCCCAAAAAAAAATACCATTGAAAACGTACAAACGTAGGACATGACAGAGTCAGCGGGACTGAAACCGGCTCATGTAACCCTGATATCGGAAATTGAAAGCAAGCCCCCCCCCCGGCCGAATAATAAAAGACAACATACGCTATTCCTTTACCCTGCCAGTTGCAAGTCGACAACATTGATCTCGAAATACCTTGTGAAAAAACTGAACAATGAAATCAACATACTCCAGTTTTGGCTTAAATGAAAAACTGAATTTCATTGAATTTGGAAATGAGGCCAAAGATAAGAAAAAATGAGTATTGAAGATACAGCGGTAACAAGACCACTACATCTCAAAATGAACATTTCCTCAAAAAATTAAGTTTGCAATTGAAATCCTTTTTCATCGTAGTTTTAATCTTTGTTATTTTCTCTTTAAAGAAATACCATTTTTTATTGGGAAAAATTAGAGGAAGTAATTAATCGATATTTTTAAAGGATTAAAATAATGACGCGATAATTATTTTTTTACAACACGATGCAAGAGGGCGCCCTGTAATAGTAAACTCATAATAGTCGCTCGAGTGTATCAGTGAAATCTTGCTGTATTTTTGGCCCCGATAAAGGCAATATCAGTTTTTTTGGGGTTGTATGTAAACTTTGGAAAGGACAAAGAGTGTCTGATAGAATAATATTCATGTACGCGTACAGAATTGATGTGATAAACGTTTAAATTCCGCACCAGAATTCAGTCTAGACTGGTGCAAGTTAACTTTCAACTCCAACGCTCTACTTGAGCGGATAACTCAAATCCGGGGTTCTCTATATTTATATATAAATATTGAAATATTTCTTTTGTATTTGGCATGATTTATCTTCTTTTTTTCTTATTAATATATTTATATATTGCATAAACACATACCATCTGTGAAGAAAAAGTCGATTGAAAATTATTACAACTCAAGTTCAACAAACGATATAGTGGACGCTTAAGGGCCTATTCGCCGACAAATTGACAATTAAAACATTTACAAAGCACAACACGTGGTGTACAAATAGCCATTCCCACTGGCGACAGCACGAAAAGACTGACATAGTCAGTACAAAACTTCTCTAGGCCCACAGAGCCCCGAAATCAAAAGCCCGACTACCCCAAATGAAATAAAGGACATTCTTTCTAATGCAAGCCTGTCTTATGCGAGTTGACGACATCCCCATGGAATAACTTAGTAATAAACAATGAAATCAACATTTTCAAATTTTGGTTTAAATAAAAAACTAAATTTCATACAATTGGAAATGAGGCCAAAGATAAGAAAAAATGAGTATTGAAGATACAGCGGTAACAAGACCACTACATCTCAAAATGAACATTTCCTCGAAAAATGAAGTTTGCAATTGAAATTCCTTTTCATCGTAGTTTCAATCTTTATTATTTTCTCTTTAAGGAAATACCATTTTATACTGGGAAAAATTACAGGAAGTAATTAATCGACATTTTTAAAGGATTAAAATAATGACGCGATAATTATTTTTTTTACAACACGATGCAAGAGGGCGCCATGTAACAGTAAACTCATAATAGTCTCTCAAACGTATCAGTGCAATCTACACTATATTTTCGGCCCCGATCATCAACATAAACTTTGTTGTTTGTACTTCAACTTTCAAAAGGACAGAGACCGTCATATAGAATAATATATTATATATACCAGTACAGCAGTCGTCGTGATAAACGTTTTCGTTCTGGAACAGAATTCAGACCAGACTGGTGCAAGTTAACTAACTAAACTCAAAACGATCAACTTGTGAATCTAGGGGTCTACTAAGTTCTGGTGGTTTTTTTTACATGAGTTATATATATATATATAGACGGAGAAACAAGTGGAGCCACTGTAGACCCATTAATTGGAAAAAAACGGAAAAAATAATTCAATTTTTACATTAATTGGAAAAATAAACGACAGAAATAAAAATAGACTTGTAAAATGGGCTAGCTATATGCTACTCCAGAAAATGTAACTGAGTTCGATAATGAGTGGAGTTTTTTTTAAAAACAATTCACATATAGATTTGCATGTGAAAACATGATCACCCTAACTTTCCTAAATTTGTAATCTCACTTCAGAATTTTGACTCTCCCGCAAAGGCGTCATACTATGTGAATCGCAGGCCATTCAGTTCCGGACAGCTTCGCTAACTTGCAAAAATTTGAACTTGGAGGGGCATTTTATGAACATGACTATTGTAAATCGATCCCCCTGGCAAGTTCTTCATTAATTTGTTAATTTGCCTTTACTCGAGAGTTTATGGTTGTGTGGAAAACATGAAGTATAATGTCTGGATGAAATTGTGCGGCCGCCGGTTGGCAAAAATGAGTTCAATGCTTTCCGAGTTAATTTCATTGCAAGTTCGTACTTTCAGCGTCCCGTGATAGGTCCAGTTAAATGAAATTCAGTGCCCACAGACTTCACTCATCCCTCAAAAGTTGTTTCTTGTTGTGAAGGTGGTACATTTACAGTGTACATGTATGCCGAAAGAATGAAGACCAAGAATGCCATTAACCCCTGCGCTAAGTTTCAGGAGGTCTCCTGAGATCAAGGGGGAGGAACATGATGAAATTGTGCTGACCGTGCGATCGGCCAACAGATTATGAAACGTGGCTTGACAGCGCAGTACAGTAAATGCAAGTTGGCCATCCTGCATTTGCGGTGTAGTGGCCCTCACATAATTCCCAAGGCTGGCAAGACTGTAACTCCACAGCGGAGCAACTACAATTGGATTTTTGAGATATTTCGCTGTCGTGTTTTAATGATGGGGTCAGAAAATGCTGAAGAGCAACGGTAAGCCGAAGTTGACTTTACTTTCATAACATCAATGATTTAACAAACAAAACGCGTACATTAACATTACTTTCCACACTCGGTACCAGGAATGATGATGGGAGCAACATGAATCGCAAGGGTTTCGGCGGCCGGGGTTGTTCCAGTGATGAATGTTAATTCCTTTTGTTGATGTCTTTTTACTTTTTTGGTAGAAAATCTGTGTCAAGGACATTTTATTTGTTGCTGTTGTTGTTGTGTGTCTTCCTCTTCTCTTCTGTTTGTGTCTTGAATGGACTTTTATAATTTCAACTTTTTTTCTAATTTCAATTAGAGTTCAAGAAATTTTAGAGCGGCACTGGGGAGACGGCATGAGGGGATATGGGACCGTTGATTTGAGGGAAAGAGTTCAAAACGCGAGTACAGAAACCGGGAAGTCTGTAAAGTACGTAAAGGTATGTATTAT